GACAGTGCAAGTGGGGGAGGTGCAGAGAGAGGGGGAAACAGAATCCCAAGAAGGCTCTGTGCTGTCAGTGCAGAGCCCGACGTGGGGCTCGAACTCACAATACTGTGAGATCATTACCTGAGCTGAAACCAAGAGTCAGACGCTTAACAGACTGAGCCATCCAGGAGCCCCGGGTCCTATACCTTATTAATCCGTTGACCTCATCTACGATGTGGCGCAGCTTATAATAAGCATCAGTTGGAGGCAGCTTTAGCTCCAGGATCAGCCGGTCAATCTTGTTGATGCACACGGTGACCGCCAGCCTCTCCTGTACTGCGTGCTTGATCAGCCGCTCTGTGTTTAGCATCACCTGAGAGACACAAGACCCAGAAAGTGGTGGTAAGAGCAAAAAGGGCAGAAAAGTCCAGAGCAAAGTCAAAGAAGGTACTATCTGAAAATACAAACTATGAGGAAAAGAGAACCTCGGGAAACTGATTACTGGGTGTAAGCAAAGGGTAAAGAGGGCACCTGGCAGGACTGAGATACGACTAAACAGCCTGATGATGCTGGGAGCCAGGTTTCTCAGTGCTGGAGAAGGGACAGAAGCAGACTTAGGAAGCAGCTATGGTACTGAATGGAACTGTGGGTATTAGGATGAAAATACGATTTCTTCTTTTTTTATTATTTATCCCATTTAATATATATGTGTAGAAATAGTTGGGGCACCTTGGTAGCTCAGTCAGTTGAGCGTCTGACTTGATTTCGGCTCAGGTCATGATCTCAGTTTGTGAGATGGAGACCCACATTAAGCTCTGTGCTCACAGAGCAGAGCTTGCCTGGGATTCTCACTCTCCCCCCTCTCTCTGCCCCTTTCCTACTCACACACATTCTCTTTCTCTCAAAATAAATAAATAAAAACGTAAACAAAAAAATAGTTATAGATATGTGTGTGTATGTATTATCTGTGTTCAGTGAAAAGATCTAGAAGTAATGGACCCCAGGAGCAGTGAACACACCATTGTGTTTCTTTCTATCCCAGTCCCCACTACAAGGAGCCAGAGCTCCTTGAAGAAATAGCTGATTCCAGGACTGGGGCAGGGAAGGCACAAAATGAATCCAGAACATCTTTTTGTGCCTGAAAGTAAGGAAGTACTCCAAAAAAGATGGGGCATGTCAAAAGAACAAAGGAGCTCTACCTAACCAAATCTGGGATAGCGCATCTAAATATGTAAGGAAAGTAATGGATTATAACCCACTGAATGAAATAAAAATCCACGTATCCATGCTGACAATAAATAAGCAAATGAGGGAGAAAGGAAAGCCCTTCCTCAAAATAGAATTCCAACCAAAAAATATAATAGGAGGGGATGCCTGGGTGGCTCAGACAGTTGAGTGTCTGACTTTGGCTCAGGTGATCTCATGGTTCACAAGTTCGAGCCCGGCGTCGGGCTCTATGCTGACAGCTCAGAGCCTGGAGCCTGCTTCAGATTCTGTGTCTCCCTCTCTCTCTGCCCCTCTTCCTCTTCCTCTTACTCTCTCTCTCTCTCTCTCTTTCAAAAATAAATATACATTAAAAAAAAGGAATAATAAGAGTTAGAAAATCATCATTTGCAACTACTATGGAAATAAAGTAGGAATGATTAATGGAGGATAAAACTTGGGGTGCCTGACTGGCTCAGTCAGTAGAGCATGCGACTCTTGATCTTGGGATCATGACTTTGAGCCCCACACTGGGCATAGAGCTTACATTAAAAAAAAAAAAAATTAACAGATGATAAAACTAATAGGCAAAGTTTGAAAAGGAGTAGAATGTGTACAGAGCCTCAAGGTATCTCTCCACAAATTATTTATTACCAAGGGGGAAAATAGTAACTTTACACAGGAGAAAACTGGTAAACCCACCTTAACCAAGCAATCAAAGTTAGCATCACCAATAATGGGATAAGGTAACACCATGGGCCTCCTAATGTGATGGACTAAGAACAATACAGCTACATTTGCACTTGGGTCAAAAATAACCTGAATGCGATCAGGAGCAAACATTCAACGAGGCCAAATAGAGAGACATACTACCAAACAAGTATAATTTATACCCTTCAAAAATGCCGTTATAAAAAAAACCAAGAAAGGCTATTGAATAGTTCCAATCAAATGATTCCAATTAAGAGACTGAAGAGACATGAGGACTGAATGCTAGGCAGCATCCTTGATCAGAAAAGAAAATTCTATAAAGGACACTACTGGGACAGTTAGTGAAATTCTGTAAGGTGTGGAGAAAAAGATCTGTACAACAATATTGTATCAATGTTAAATTCCCTGATTTTGGGAACTGTATTTTGGTCATGTAAGTGAATGTCCTTGTTCTTAGGTAACATGCTGAAATATTGTATTTTGAAATAATTCACGGGGAAAATACACACTCATATGTGTGTATATACATCTACAGAGAAAGAATTACAAAGCAAATGAGGGTGCACTCCTTGTACTGTTCTTCCAACTTTTCAATAAATTTGAAAGTATGTGTATTCCAAAATGAAATCAAATAGAAAGAGGGGGAAGAAAAAAAAAAAAAAAAAAAAGCAACTCTGGCTCCCTCTGCTGGCAAAATCACCAATGACAACATGAATAAGGTTAGCCAAATTACCTAATCTCTCAATTTAGAAATATACAAGATGCCTTGAGTCTTTTAATTCCAAACTCTATTTTAGAAAAACTCATTGGGGCGCCTGGGTGACTCAGTTGGTTAAGCATCTGACTTCGGCGCAGGTCATGATCTCACAGTTTGTGGGCTCGAGCACCGCACTGGGTTCTGTGCTGACAGCTTAGAGCCTGGAGCCTGCTTCAGATCCTGCGTCTCCATCTCTCTCTGCCCTTCCCCAGCTCATGCTCGAGCTCGCTCGCTCTCTCTCAAAAATAAAATAAACATAAAAAAATTTAAAAAAAGAAAAACTCATTAATATTTAAAATCCATTTACACGAATATACTCTCGTCCCTCTTTTAATTACATTTGTCATTTTATTTTGGGTCCTATCATTTTGACCTTCACTGGACAAGGAGTGAAGAACTCATACTGAGAAGTAATTGTGACCTTCATAGGCTGCCTTAATTTCAGAGCAAACGTGAGCCTTAATCCCACAGACTTTCATCATCTCTGGTTCCCAGCTCACTCAATGCACTAGGCATTATGTGGGGCAAACCTAACATGGAGGAGGGATCATAAGAGGGTAGCGGCAGACTCACCCCTTCAGCCGCATCGATGAAAAGGACAACTCCATCTGAGATGCGCAAGCCAGCTGTGACCTCATCAGAAAAATTCACATGTCCTGAAAGGCAAATACCCAGTAAGTCACCTGCGTGGTGGCAGGATGACGCAAATTAACTTGTAGGTAGCCTAAGGGAACACTGCAAAGCATGTGAGCCCCCAAACATGCCCTTTCCCTTCTCTCCACAACTCCCTACATCGTATAAAATTCTACCAGGTAGAGTCATGTGCTTGGATTAAACTTTTATACAGGGGGTCCCCAAACACAAAAAGAAGGAAGTGTTTGCCTAGGAGGGCAATAACATCGACATTCACACACCAGCTAGGTCTCATCAGCAGTCAGCAGAGTTCTGGGAGGCACAAGACGATTCAGAGGCTGGAGAAAGGGCAAGAGGGCCTGGTGCATGAGAGATAAGCCAAGGTGCTACTGGTGGGGACAGGGAGAGGGGCTGAGAGGTATCAGGGCACTGGGCATCCGAGGATGAGAAGAAGGTCAACCTGTCAAAGCTCCAGTTTTTCTACTTAAAACTCTGCCCTGAGTTGGTCCTTTCCATTAGATAAAGACACAGTCTGTCACAGGCAAGGTATGCTGCTCCTGTGACCTGTATGTCCACCGCCACTTGGTGCACTGACCCCATGGTTTCCTTCAAAAGACTTAGTGTGCCTGAAGCCAGGGCCATGTCTGACTCACCTTCATTATCAAGTGTCTAGCATGGGGCCTGACACAGGCTGGAATGAGTCAATGAATGAGACTCCCTAATATTTGAATATTTTAGAGCAGAGCAAAGAGAGGAGCGAAATAGAAGGCCTGCTGCACAGTGCCTGCTAATTAACTAGTCAGAAGCAAAGGAGACAGTGAAAAAGGAAATTATCTCAACGAAAGGAGAAGTGAAGGAATGTAAACACAAAGATGAAATGCTCTGTTCTATTCTGGAAAGAAAGCACAAAAAACAAGGAGGGCAAGGTTCTCATAGTAAAAGGAATGTCCCACCTGGAGTGTCCATGATATTGAAGAGGTAAGACTTTCCTTTGGTATCTGGCAAGACCACTGTCACTGGAGTGCTTTTGATGCCAACACCTCTCTGAAATCACGAAGAAAGAGTGGTCATTGGGATTTCTTCCTATGCAAGAGGAGTTCCTTCTGCTCCAGGGGCTTGCCAGTTGCTAGTAGTTACGCTGACGTCTCTTCTTGAGTGTTATTTTTATCTAGGCCTCTAATCAGAATGACCCTGAAGATGAGCTATCTTGGTGTTAAACATCATTTTTGCAGAGGTCTCGTTCAAATACAACAAACGTAAAAATAGGGGTGCCTGGGTGGCTCAGTCGGCTAAGCACCCAAGTCTTGACCTCAACTCAGGTCACGACATCACGGTTTGTGTGTTCGAGCCCCATGTGAGGCTCTGCGCTGATGGTGTGGGGCCCACTTGGGATTCTGTCTCTCCCTCTCTCTGCCCCTCTCCCCGCTCTGTTTTCTGTTTCTCTCTCTCTCTCAAAATAAACTTAAAAAAAAAAAAAAAA